ACTATAGCATATAGTTGCCATACAAACTGAACGATCAGAATAAAGTGTTTGTATGGAAAATTTTTTCGTTTGGCGAGATATCTTCAAGAAATTTGACATGGGTTATAGGCCCAGACAACGATGCAATCTCTGAAGAAATTATTTAGATAGAATCACTAAAGCATATAGCTGCCATACAATTTGGCCGATCAAAGTTCTTGTGAAGAATCATAAATCCATAACGTAGATTTAAAATATCTTTAATAAATTTTAATGCTATTTGGCTTAAATACGACGAATTTAGTTTTTGCACCACACCATGTCAAAGGAAACAATTTTGAGGACAATCCTTTTTGACGCTATCTTCTATTATTATTATGGTACCTATACAGAATAGCCCTGTTAACCAAGCGCTTAAGCAAATGGTGCGTAAAATTAGCTGCAATATCGTTAAAGTAACAATGTAAAACTTTAAAATGTTGCAATCGCAGCGATAACATAGTTGTTATCAAAAAAAGAAAATATTCCAACAAAATATCAAATAAAAATGTTGAGCTTTTAAAAAGCTTCGCTTATCGCAAATGCAATGCAGCTGAAATCAAAAAATGCAAAACTACCAGCAAACTTCTGCAATTTACATGCCTTGCTTCCAAAAGTTCGAACAGAACTTCATTTAAATTTCAGTGCGAACAGCAGAAGATGCTGAAAATACATGCACAGTTATAAGAAAGTTACAAAATTCACGCAAATTAAACCGTTAAGCAACATCAGAAAAGAAGCGCTGCCACACCCCCAACACTTTCTGCCCACACCACCCACTTTACACTCTAAAAATGAACTGCCAAGTTTAGAATACCATTTGTTGGCCAACAACAATAGAGAATAGAACAGAAGAAGCAGAAGCAGAAGCAGACGAAGCCATGTTGCACGCTGTGTTGCACTTTGCGACACACTGGCAAACCCCAAATTGCAAATTGCAAGCAGCAAACACATTATCAACACACAGAGAAAGTACCGTTAAAGTAGCGACATTAGCAGTAATAGTGTAGGAAGAACAAAAACAACAATCACAAATACAACAATAGCAATAAAACACCTTATTTCCTTTCTGGCAACCAGCAACGCGGTAAGTGCGCACGACAGCTTGCACACCGCTTCGCACTGCCCTCGGCCACTGCACCGAAGTGTCAAGCAACAGCTTGTGTCGCCCACCTGTCTCACTGGCTGAGGCTGCTACCACAACAGAGTAGAGCGAAACAAAGTTGTTTAAAGAGCGGCAGTAATTGAAAGTCTCAAGCAGGGTTGCAAGGCACACTGTGCGCTCTTGATTTTTACAGTTAATTCCTGAAGTGCACCATTGATGCCAATCACAGCTCAGCAGGAGTTCGTGATCAGCGTGCGTACACAGACTCTGGCTATATGTTGCAAGTTGGCTTGAGCTCATTTTCGACTGTGCGGATAGTTAAACTTTTCAGCTGGTATTTTCCACTCACTTTCAGTGCTTCATTGTTGTTGTCTCTTTGACTCACTTGCGACACAATTAAGGTGCGTACATTAAAATGGCTTTGTTGTGCGATATAAACGGCAATGTGGCAGATGGCTGCTGGAGCGCTGCTAGAAAATGTTGCTGGAATATCACAATTCGCCTTAAAAATGATGTTATTGGAAATATTAGAACGAAGCAATCTGGCTTAGATAGAAATCACAATGTTGCCATCGGTACTGAAAGGAGCTCCTAAGACATCAAAACATGTTGACCATATCGGGATTACCCAAAAATACATAATCTCGAATCGCACCTAGACGGCTGTCAATTGTGTGGGGATCGCTTGCTTGATTATAACTTAAAGCGTCGTGCGTTACCCTCCAATAGTAATATAAGGTATTCCAGGGAGAGAACAAATAGAACTGAGAACAGCACAACTTACCAGCAACAGCGGCACAGCTTATCCAAAGAACGCTAAACTAAGCCTGTTACCGGACAACATTCCGCATTACAATGCTTTTCTCTACTATTAAGTCAAAACGACCTATAGTAAATGATGCGGCGAACACCGAGATCTACACACGATCATCGGTTCGTGAACAAAAATTTAAATATGTACGTTGACACAAATCTCAAAACCAAATAAATAACTTGATATTAGAGCTGCATATTCGGGTATGCTCGAAGATCTGTTTGTGTAACCAAAAAACGTACTTCTTTCGGAAATAAAATTAGACCGCAATCTTCTCAGAAAAAAAATATATATAATAATTTACTGATTTTTCCCCCATTATTTATTATAAATTCTTAAACTTAAAAACTATTAACTACATTCAATTTAATGTTGTCTTTATAAATATACTTATTTTAATTGGGAATAATTCATATTCATACAGGTACAGTATCAGTACAGTAGTGTATCAGGTTGCTTGAATTGCGCCTAAATCCATGCATCCTTTGTCATCGTCAATAGCAAATCAAGTGTGTTAGTTAAACATAAAAGTCTAAGCAGGAAACTCATTCGAACCAGACTTCCGCCGCAGCCAAGCAAAGAAAAACAAAATCAACGGCATAAGAACATATGCAAAACACTATTCTCGGCTATCGCTGTAAGGTAGTCGACTGAGTGAAGCACAATTTATACTTCTGCGTATTTTTGCTTTTACGGCTATGAAAAAGAAAGACTTCATAATTGAAGTAAAAACTTTTTCTAGCTTTTATTTATAAGCACCTTGTTGTAGTGCTAAATGATAAATAGAACAATAAGAAGCTAAAAATTCGATGAATTTGTGTATATTTATTGGATATATTGTAGATAAAAGATATCTAAGAAGAGCCTTGATATGAAAATTTATAAACTCTTTATGGCTTTAAATAGTTATCCAGATTTTCGTAAGAAATAAGTGTGAAAAAAGAAGCGGACGTAAGTAAGCTTTTGATTTTTAATTTAAGCCGTGCTTAAATCACTTTACTTATCACATATGCTTTAAATGTGATTTTTGGATCTATTGCGATCTTTTTTTTAATGCCAAAGCAAGCTACTCTACAACTTTGCGAAAACAACATACTTATAAAAAATTTTCCACTCTACAAAAAAGGTCTTGACGATTTCTTTAAAAGTTATACGTAGTGAAAATGATGCAACAAATTTACTGTATTTACATAGTCCACCATGTCGTATGAGCAACACAGAATGTATAAATCATTTGTGTAATTGCTCTGGTGATTTGATGCATAACTTTAAAAAAATATTAAGACCCTTTCTGTAAAGCGGAAAATTTTGTACTTTAATATTGTGTATTCAAGACTGTAGCCTTACTTGTTTATTGGAAAATATCACAAAATTCTTTATATATACGGGAAAAAATATATGATTTAGGTACGATTTGATTTATGACCTTCCATAAGACGTCAAAATATTTTAAGATCATCACAAATTTACCAAATTGTATTTTTTCGATAGCAGATGCCTAGCTGTCAATATTAGGGAGAACTAAGATGACCATACGTAGAATATATTAACGCCAGTTCAAGCTTTAACTAGTTACTATATTATTAATGAAGTTTCAGTGTAACATATATGCTCGCTTCCAAATTTCTAGTATTAAATATATAAATATAAAAATGTTATACCTACAAAATATAATTGAACACTCTTAAAATAAACTTGTATCCAGCTGTGACTTCCATCCCTAATGAAACTGGTTCAGCTGTTAGTTAATTTGCGCATTTTTATATTCTTTAGGTGAGAGCGTCTCCCACGCTTATCTTATTTTCTCTCTCCCTCTCCATTTCATTAACTATAACACACATGCAGCTTGTTTAGTGCTCTGGTTCAAATAAATTATTTATTTGCGTCTTAAATGCGCTTAAATTTATATGATTATTTATAACAGCATATGTGTTTCCGTATTTATTTATGTGTGCCGAAAGTACCTTAGGGATTTTCATTGTATAAAAATAAATGCGGAGCCGTTGCATATTAAATAAATTCCATTAAAAGGCAATCAAATAGTCACATATAGCAAAGTAATACATTTTTGCTTTGACTATAGTGCATAATTGAAGGGCAGTGGTGTATGCGAGAGGTTGGTAAGTCATTTAAAAGCGTTAAAAACCCCTATGTCAGATAATTTCCAATGCATAAGTACTTAGTGATTCTCAAAGTAATCATATATACGATATGAAGGATTTCTGAATGAGGTCTTAAGTTATTCAACACTTTTTCTTTATAAAAAAAACAAAGTCCCGCAATCGTCAATGTTACTGTCATAAGTCAGTACTGTAAAGTCATACCTGCTCCTAAGTCACTACCTTTATTTAACTCGCTAGCTCCCTAACTTTTCAGGGTAAAGTTAAGATCCCTAAAAGAAAAACTTGCAAAAACAGAATAAAATAAAAAATATACACGAACGATCGAAAGGTACTCAATAAAAAGTTTTGAGAACACAATATGTTGCCCCAGCAATCTCAATGCATGTTTTGGTTACAATAACACTGCCTAAAATTATATATACCGGCAGCATACTGGAAAGGGAGAATCAGAAGAGACATGAGAAGAGAGCAACAACAAAATTAGAACGAGATATTAAAAATCCGGTGAATGATATTCACAAGACCAGTAAAAGCAATATTCGCAACTAGGCCGCAGAATAACAGAAATCTTAATTTAAATCAATACAAATATGATTTTATCAATAATTCTGCCCAATAATATAACTGAATAAAAAATATATTTGTATTACATTTAAGAAGTTTAAAAATATAATAATTATTAACGTTAATAATTACTATCGAAAATAATTAAAAATTTGTTCTACTAACTCTTGACTTTTAGCGGCCGCTAAATGAGTCACATGAAGCAAAAATATTATATATATATCATAAGAATTGAAACGAAAGAAAATACATATTTTATTTATGTTGAATAACAGTAAACGTTTTTTGAACAATTTTTTTGTGGATAAGATCTTCACATTATGAAAATATTATCGGATTAAAATAATATAATTTTTCGATATAGTGTCGTACATACCATATCCTGGATAATCAGATATAAACGAGAGAGAGAGATTTTTAATTTTTCACATAATAATTACCTGTAAATATAAAAGGAAGAATATAGAGTTAGTAAATATTGTTCACAAGATTGTGGAGGGTATATAAATGTATGTATATATAAAATAGTAATTAATTCAAAAATAAGTACATTTTCAGTGACTATGTATGATATGATGTTTATGTATCGGAATGTCCATATAACGGTCACTTTTTAAAAACGAACAACAACACTAAATTATGCGGTATATTATTGATGTAGCTCTGAAGTTAATAATTTTTTCAGACGTTTAGACCATAGACCAAAATCAAGTTTTATTTTAAATATCACTTAATAATCATTATACACTAAGTTGTACGATTTTCTTCAGCGATAATGATTAATTTTATAGTAAATCCTAAATACTTATTATTTTTGAGCAAAAAAAAAAATCTAATATAAAGATTATTTACTAAAATAAACCTGAACTAAATTCTTTATTTAATAAAACATTTTATGATTTTTATTTTTTGCTCATATTATTAAAAATAATCAAAATTAATCGTTGTTGGTGAAAAAGTTATGAAAATCCGAAATTAACCAATAAATGTTTAGTTTGTCGAAAAAGGACCAACATGACATTATTTGTTTTTTGTATGACGATTTTTATTTATTTATTCATTGATACCAGGATACAAAGTACATATTACACACAAAGTATGCACCTATGTTGCATGTTGTTGGTGTTACAAAACACCTGTACATACTTGTAGGCCTTGTTATTTTAATTAAGTACTAATCTAATAATAACAATGTCATTTATAATGAAAAACAAAAGAAAACATAGTATTTTTAAATATCAATGTCTAATCCACTCAGTTATTTTCTTTTTGCTTGCTTTATTTACGGTCCCTGGTTTAGACTCTTTTGAATGACTTGCTCTATATTCAACATAAGTATTTGATATGTTAAAAAATTGTGTGCACATCAGCGATAAGATTAAAAAAAAATCTAGTGGCGTCAAATTACATATTATATCAAAGGCATTAGCTTATTTTACTTAAGTTTTGTTTAAAATTAACGTTGATAGTTTCTATGAACATTAGTGTAAAATACCTCTTTTGACATGTCAGCTGTTTCGAAAATTTCGATTTTTTTTTTTAATTTTAACAAGGAACTAATCTTTTATGAGCAACTTTTTTAGTTGGCGATAATAAAACAATACTCAGAAATATGAATGAATTCCTACAAATTTTATAACTCAAAATCTCAGAACCAGAGACTACCCCCATATAAAATTATTTGTGTCTATCCGATTATTCAAACGGATTACCCTTTCCAGATTTAAGAAGATCCTATTGATATGGGAATTGTCTTTTATCGAAACTTACAATATTTACAACCGAGTGGGCAGTCCTCGTTTAGCTATGTTCAAGTGAAATAGATCCGACTGTCTTGAAAATATTCAAAGCTACTCTTACTATTAATCACTGCAGTGCAGATTTTATATCCGAATACACGATTTTTCGGTATGGTTAAAAATCCGGATGAAATTCTCAGTCCTACTTGAGTCTGTTTGTGCGACCGTTAATGAGGCATAGGTTGAGCGGGAGACTTATTTTAAGTGCCTCACTCATAAAACTTGATGCCAGTTTAATAGGGTACGAGGCTAATCTCATTCTGTAGCGGATTGCAGTGTTTTTGATTTCATCTTTTATTTCAGGTATTTTTTGAAACGAACTAACCTTCAACAGTTTGTTTTAAAATATATATTTGTTAAACTAATACCATATTCTAAAACTTTCTGAACAAAAAGTTATAGTATATTATATTATACTTGGTCAATAAGATAAAGTTGATACTAAATGGTAAAATAGTTTTACTATATACATATGTGTGTATGAAAAATAATCATATTACTCAAATAATGGTTTCATAGACAAGTATCGAACTTTATTATGTTGAAGTTTTCATTATACTTAAGATAATCAATATACCATAATTCTTGGCATTCTGTTTGGCGTCGGTCGTAGTCGAATACCATAGGTTCGTGTTTGCTACGAAGAGGATTATCGTTGATCTAAAATCCATACATATGTAAGTATAGTTAGTCTTGTATTATGCGTTATATACGAAAATCCAACGTTAAAAACGAAACAATTAATTTATGATATCTTACAGCGAATTTTTATTCTCCTCTATATGTACATAAAACAAAATTTAACACATTATTCTTTTAGAACAGGCACACAGCAGCAGCATTGATTGAAATTTATTCCATTATATTCATGAATAATACACAAATTACATTCTTCTCAAAATATAGTAGCCCACTAAAACGCCAAGGCTGAATAGGATTATTCTATCCATGGTTCTAATCTAAAGTGAGAGTATCAAGTGTAGTTTCGGATAAAATTTAGAGATCCTCTTTAAAAAACTTCAACAGATTTTCACAAAAACTATTAAAACGCTTAAGGTTTTGACATTTAATTTGATTATTCAATTTATTTACAAAGCAAAGCCTACATTAATTTGTTTTTCGAGTGAAGTAGTCCTTTCCTTTTTTCTGTGGAAACTTAAGTCAATCTATATCTGACCAAATACTACCATCTCAGCAGTATTCTCTGAAACTATATACTAATACAACAACAAAAAAAAAACAAATTGTAGATTTGAAAACTTTTAGTTCAGCATTTATTATTCATCCTTGATGACTCGAAGCATTGCACTTGTCATCCCACATATTATTACCACAAACTCCATTATTTGCTAATTACTTAAATAACATATTCTCATTGCATTGTTGTTGTATTTGTAATTGAATACATTTTTGAATTTAGCTTCACATGGAAATTACAATTTCGGCACAATAAAATAGCCAATGGCAACACCAAAAATAAATATTATCAGCCGATCTGCAAGCATTCTGTTTCCTTCCAGACGATTTCCTTGTAGAATATTACTGGCAAAAAAAATATATTAGATATTATTTGCTTTTGTTTTGAAAATGTTCTGATGTTAAACTTGAACTGAACGGAAAATACGAAGGCTACGTGAAGTGAAAAAGGTTGTAATATATTTTTTCGTAAACTTGTGCTAGCAAAACAAACAAAGTACAGGGTTATTAGCTTTTTAGTTGGGAGTCATTTCAAAACGTTGAAAGAGGTTTTCTTAATGGGTTCAAACACCTTTAAAACTTAGTTCAGTGCATGTGTAAAGAGTCGCTTGCTGAGAGCGAATAAAACGTCAGGTGAGAGTATTTTTACTGCTTCTAGTGTACACATACCCAAACCATCATTGATGTGGTAACTTTATTTGTAAACTCTAGCTAGAGTCGATGAGTTTAATCTTCTTCTAAATAACTAAACTAAGATAGCCCACAGATAAATTAAGAGAGTGCATAATACTCCAATAAGAAAACAAACTGGTCACACAAAAGAGCGAACTGTTTTCAGTACTCTGCAAACAGGTGGTGGAAACTCTAAAAGGCATTGGTACACAAAATAGGCGAGTGCCATTTGTAAATCTTACTTAGCTTGAAACTTTGTAGTGCTCAATGTGCTGATGATGTAACGTCAAAGTTCTCCTGCAGTATTTAAGATCTCGAATCTATTATATTATTTCAAAATATGCAGTTTTATAAGTTGTTTTTCTGTCTGTTTCTGCCTCTTTCGGGAACAAAACTTAACCATACTTCAACAAAAAGCACCTCGAATGGAACTCATATAGAATTCGAATATAATTGTAGGGATGTTTTAATAGTTAAAACTTCTAGATGCTTACACCAATATGACTCCAGCCAAAGTGCCCAAACAAAAAATGATCAACGGTTCGGTCATTACAAAGAGCCTTATTTATCAATCGACGTGACTTGCTTGAATATTTTTGCTAAAAAATTGTTTTAGTTATTTCTTTAGTACAAATTGATTTAGTTTTATGTTTTGATTAGAGTTCAATTCTGAAAGAAAAACACACATGAGAGACAATAGTAAAAAATCAATCAAAGAAAAAGGTTTAAGAATATAAACACTTACAATAAGAAATTTAGCAGAACTATTGAAATGAGTTGTCCATTTAAATAAAAAGTATACATAATTTAATTTTAAACAATTTTCTGCTTATCGTTTCCTCGGCGAAATAATATACCCAACAAATAAGCCAAATGTGAAGATGCAGAGTTTTCTTTGCATCATGCTTTGAATTTTGCCAACAGAATTTTGATTCTTTGAAATTTTATTTAATTTTCAAAGCGAAATGTCAAAAAATAGAATATGTCAATACGAATTAGAATGAAAACAAGCTCAAATACTTCATAGCCATGATTATTACAGTCAACTAATAACAGCTCTTCGAGTAATAAAAATAAATACTAATTATCAGAATTTTTTAAATATATAGTAAAATATTTGCTTACAAGTATACTCACACATGTCAACTTAATTTCCTTCACATACTGTGGCGAAAAAATAGCCGCATAGGAACCCTAAACCAAATATCACAATTAGACTAACCATCCCTGCTTGAACTGCCGGCTATTGATTTTGTGAGTATTTGTGCACTTTTTATTAGATTCTCAATTCAATTTGTAAAATATTGGTTATTCATTAAATTAACTGATAAAAAATTCAATGATTTTATGGACAATATTTGAATTATACCCGAGTTATGCTCCAATGTTTATTTTCGTCCATAACCAACCATAATTTTGGTTTGAACACTAAGCTTATGAGTAAATAGAGTCCTTCCTTTTTGATGATCATATTTTTTATACCCTGAACACGTTATATAAAATTTGGCACGATGTTTGTTACATTGAGAAACGACGAAAACCCTATAAAATGTATATATAAATGATCAGCATTATGAGCTGAGTCGATTTAGCGATGTCCGTCTGTCTATATATACGCGAGCTAGTCCTTCAGATATCGATCTGAAATTATTCACACGTTCTTTCCTTGCCAAGATGCTGCTCATTTGTTGGAACCGCCGATATCGGACAAATATAGCATATAGCTGCCATACAAACTGAGAAATTAAGCTCTTGTTAGAAATCTTTTATATTTATGAAGGCTTTCATAGCTTCGCGCATCTGAAGTGAACGTTTTTATCTTATTTTCGCTTGAAAATTTGACAGAAGGACAATGTTTTTTTGGGAGTGAGTCCGCTATATTTATATTTCGCGCCAATTCCCATTGGTAAGTTAACAGCTGATTCGGAAACGCGAAACAGGAAGCTGAAATTTATGGCATTACACTTTCCACATAAAATCTTTTTATACCATGTTATGCTTTAAAAAATGCCCCTGTGAAGGATATTATTTTTCAGTTTGGCTGTTTTGTCGTATTTGCTGTTATCAAGCATCCATCCAACGGAAGAAACTTCAACGACGATTAAGTTTATAAAAATTTATCATTTTTATACTCTCGCAACATGTTTTAACAGGGTATAATAGCTTTGTTCACATAACAATGGTTTATATCAACTAGAACTAAAAGAATTATATATATAGTTATATCTATATGGTAAATATATAAACGAGCAGGATAACTAGACGTATTGAAATTCGGGTGACTGGACGAATTGAACATTTTGTGTGCTCTTGAAATATGAATAAACAAATGATGAAGAATTTGATGTTTAATATATCCATCGCCAAAAAACGTGCGAGATGCGTGCCTACAGACTAGCGCATCCCCTTACACGAACAACACAACGATAATTTATTTTTGTAAAATCCTGAAATAGTAAGAAATGTACCACATGCAGGGTCCTCTAAAACAAATAAGTATTATGCATTTCCAATGTCCTTCGTGTCCAAAATTATCAACAATTTGAACAATCCAAAGAGTAGTATTAGTTTCTTATAGCGATTCAATTCTGTAAAGAATACACACAACTCAATAAAAGGTCATCAAAGAACAAAAAATGTAATTGCTTCAACTCACAAATTCAAAATTTTGCTTCAATTTGTTTTCAAGTTTGTCCACATTTTATGTTACCTTTAATTTTAATTATTTTTTGTTTACTTTTCTTTAATTTTCGGTAATATAATATAACCAACAAGCACTCCAAAGGTGAAGATGCACAATCTTCCTTGCATTTTGCGGACGGAAATGCCACTGAGAATTTCAGCCATCAATTTTCTTTCTGTCATGATTCAATTAATAAAATCATGCTTTCAGTTTTGGATTGAAAAATACATGCCAACTCTGATCCAATTATGTAAGGTTGAAGTCGATAGTTCAAAAACAACAATCTGTCGAAATGTTCTGTTTTACTTTTATGATTCATAAACAAATTTTACATAAATTAAAACCAATAAGAATGTGCTACGGAGGGATAACTGAATGCGAATAGATTGTAAAATTGTATTAGAAAATGTGAATGAATTACAATCAAATTTGGTATTTTATTATAGTTCACAGAGTCACTTAGTTTTATAGCTATGTTTTTTTTCATATCCGAGATATTGGTATTAGAATCAACATAGTTAACTCAAATAAGATATATATACATACGGGTACGTACATATGTTATATAATCTCAACCAAAAAGGCTAAATTTAATATATTGGGTACAAGTATATGAGTGTAAAATCGGCCAGTGAAACGGAAATCATTATATTAGGGATAAGGGATTTAGATCACGGTCTTGACCGATTTCATTCACACTCAACACAAAACCACATTATAACATATTTATAAAAACTTTGAAATATCTCATATATTGAGAAAAATAAACGGCTTTAAATCAGTTGAAAAGTTGAACATAGTTATATCGAGTGTATTAGGGCTAGCATAATATTTGGACTATTTGAGTTAAGTTGTGGCATTACTCTAGTACCTACACACAGTGACCGACATATGCGGTATAAAGTCTGTCAGCTGGGATAATTCGTTGACAAATTTTACATATTTTTTGCATTAAACTATAATATATCCTTTATTAAATGTTGACTTAATCGGGCTAAGATCTTACAATTTTACTGACATAAACGGTATGAAAGCAACCGGAAATCCTTATCTCGCGTGTATGGGGACCAGGGGTAGTATTGATCCACTTTTATCGATTTTAGGCATTAGAATGGTTTTTATATAGAGATGCTATTTTAGTTTCTTTAAAATATCTCACAAATTGGAGGTATGTACATATATACTGTATAAAGTCAACCGAAAGTTCAAAAATCTTTATATTAGGTATATGAGGGTTAGGTGAAATATTGGTCCGATTTGATATATTTTTGACATAATTTTCAGAAAAAGATTCTTTCTAAATTTTAATAATATATATTAGACATTGACTAATTTTTTCGGTAAAAAGTTAGCCATAGCCACTGGAGCCACAGCTTCATGAGAGCTTGAACAGTTAGCATACTTCAAAGGCACTATATGTGAAAAGTTTTATATATTCATTGGTGCTTGATTCGTATACCGGAAAGTGAAAGAATCAGACAGAACTTAAAACTGTGTTATATAAGAAGTAGACGTGTTTGTGGTTCTAGTATAGCGTAAATTTTCATACCGTAAGATAGAAATGTATGGATAATCTTACCTATTAAAGTTGGTTGAAATTGGTCAAGTAAGTCCTGAGAGATGCGTTTTCATCTGAAGACGGGCAGTGCCACTCCCGTTGTCCAAGATCTATACTGGCTCCTATAAAGCCATTTTGTATAATTTCGGGTGCAGAAGCTTTTATTTATAAAATTATTGCACTTTTATTAGTTGTGAATATAACTGTTATATGGGGAGTGGGAGGGGTTATAATTCGTTTTTATCCATTTTCACAGTGTTGGAGAAAATGCAGAAAACAATTGTCCTGAAAAATTCTGGGGAAATTAGCTAAAGTGGGTTGAGAGATATGATCTCTAAACCTATCAGCGGGCGGAACCACGTTGAGAAAAATTATTGATATTCGAATTCTATTTATAGTTACTTAGCTTAGTCTATTTGAGACACTTTTCCATTGTTTTAATGCATTTTGAGTATTGGAGCTCTCGATCTAGAGAGAGTTTCACTTGTTATGGAGCAGATTTTAGAGAATACCAGATTCAAATATGATCGAACCAAAGGTTAAAGGTTTCTCTTGGAGACTTCAATAATTTTATTCTATATGTATTGCTATTCTAAAGGGTACATATGTATTATATATAGTCAATAAATATACCATTCGTCGTTGTTAACTCTGCGAGGTTAAATATAATAAAAATAATAGGTTTCGTGCACACACAGTCACATAAATCAAACACATTATGCACTGGCCGAGGCTTTACTCGATGTCGTGACCTCAGTCGTTTGCCGTTATATGCTTAAATAAATAACAATGTGATTTAGGCTGTCAAATAAACACATATACATACATATGTATATACATAAATTAAAACCAATGAGATATGTATATACATGTATATCATATATATACATATGTCTGTATATACGTAACTATGTGTGTGTGGGAGCAAATAGTATATTTGTTTGCTTATTCCACCAATTAAGCAGACATTCAGGGCTTATGTCGAAGGAAATCATGCAAGAAGGAAATTATAATTAATCAACACTTATGAAGTTATGTTGAACGCCCGCGATGCAAGTAGGTGCATTAAGTAGAATAGCTTCTAGTAATAGGTATATACAGACCTATATAAATTGACCTTAAAGACTTGTTTGGGCCAGCGACAAATTCCGTTAAATAAGCAAATTCTTGAGATGAAAAGAATGTATGCAAACTTTCCTATCGATAGCTCAAAAACTGGGAGGGAGTGACTCAGCTCGTGTCATTCGTATATTTATATACTATTATGCAAACTTAATATGATATATCCTATGCGGATTTCATCCCATACCCTTAGACTGCTTTAGCTTTATATTACTAATGAAAATCTTCCACAATATCTTTGTCCTGGGAACGAAACTGCAAGATTGTTTAATACAAATTAAAGTCAATCCGATAACGATTTCAAAGAGAGACACAGAGAGAGAGTGAATTCTTTTAGAAAATGACAACTTTGCACAAAATACTCTGAAGTATTCAAGCACACAAGATTGCTAATGAGACAAGCAGAATTGTTGCCATTGCTCTTACATCATATTATCTTTACAATCTGATCTTCCGCAATCTCTTCTGATTTTAGTAATGATAGTGACCCAACATTCTCTACAGAAATTTCCACCACAGAAAGCAATATTGCTGAATATACAACTGAATAAAATAAAATCAAGGATCTTTACCTTTTAACAGAGAATATGTAGTAAATGTATTAATTTGTTCACATATCTCTTCACCTTTGCGGCGGAAGTAGGCGGAAATTAAAAGTATACCCAAGCTATTTATACATTATTCAAACTTAAAAAATTCTCTACTCCAGTTAAAATAAGCCTTTACCTTTTAGTGGCCTACAGTGACAGTACGTCAAGGCAAAAAGTTGTCACAGACACTTGAGCTCTTTACAAGCATACATATCAGTTTATATCGTGATTAATTAGCACAATTTATTAAGGTGTTAATACATACTTCAACACTGGCATCAAAGTAGCCGAAGGCGTGCTGTAAGGAAATTAAGTAAATTTTTTCGGTGTAAATCTTCTTCGATTTTATCTTATCATGCATAATGCACTTCATTTCATCGAAGTTTTTAAGTTAATAATGTTATGTGCATTAGGGCCAGTTTTCAAAAATTATATAAAATATGTAACTCTTTATCAGTCTTATCGTCTTTAATGATAGTAATTACACCAGATTAAAGATGTGGCATGAGGAAATATTTTTTTTTTTAATGTTTGGAGTAGCTTTGCAAAAATTATAAACTTTATCTGCGTGATAAGTTATTCAGGTATCTCGAGCCGAGATAATATTATCTTTATTATATACAGCATTGAGCAGTCATACAAACTGATCGATAAAACTCAAGTGCTTGTATGGAAAACTGTTTAATTTGACAAGGTATCTTCACGAAATTTGGTACAGATTATTAACAAAAGCATTGCTATAATCTCCGAACAAATTGTTTAGATCGGAAAACTATAGCATATAGCTGCCATATAAACTGTGCGATCAAAAACAGAGTAAATATCTTTTTATACCTTTTTAGGCGCTAAAAAGAAGCATCTGTGAAGGGTATTATAGTTTTGGCGGAGCCGAGGTTAACATTTTTTCCTGTGTTAAAACAAAAAGTTATTTTAGTGAAAAATTTCGAACCTAAAATTTTCACTGAAGGTGATGTGAAATGTCATCATTTTTCTCGAAGCAGTGAAAACACATGAATTTAGACTATTGCTATTTAAGTGTCAATGTATTTTACATAGTGACAACTGCGCATTATTATAAAAATGAAATATGATTGGCATATGAAGATATGTTTTGACCGTAGCGTCATCTACAGGAAAAATTTCTGATATGAGCAATTTCAGTGATTTTTATGAGACCAAAATTTTTACTAAACCGAATGGTAAATATGCTTGTTAGATATATTTCTATCTGGGCGGTACCATGGAAATTGTTGAGAATTATTTCAGTTATAATATAAATACATGTTTCCAATATAATATTAGTTGAAGGATTACAATAATAAGATATTCCAAATATGAATTAAATTGGATCAGTGTAATGATGTTAAGCAATATTTAGACGCCATCGGCACCCAGCGTTACTTATGATAAAACTGAGAATCAAATATGAACCCAATGAACATATATATAAATATATATATATATGTATATGTTTTTGGCTAGTAAAAATTTGATTTGGTTGGTTAACAAGACTTTCTTTATCATAATTCTGGCTCTACTAATTAAACAAAAATAATTAAAATAATTCCATGAAGTCTCTTAACATGTCCTACAGGGTTGCTCTTATCTGATCCCATAACCGTAATTTTTTTTTTTTCAAATACAATACATTGGCACCCTTTCACTTTCATTCATAATTCTTACTTTTTAAATTTCTTCGAAAAAGAAGAGAAAAACTCTTGACCCTTTTTCTCCCATTAAACACCTCATCAAAAAATTTAACAGAGGCAACTTTGAAGTGCCACTGGCAAACTTTCTTCACTCATTCGTGCATGCACTTATTCATTTAGGTTTGCATGTATGTATGTATGTACTTTCATAAGTAATTCTTCACTCACTTCATTTTTGCTTTCACATTCCATCACCTTTTAAAAAATTCCGGCGCTTAAACCTTCTTTCCGGCGCACATTTTTCTCAGACATTCACTGCTGCCGAGGCACTCGAGCATTTAAATGCGCTGCTGCGACTATAAATTATGCCAGTCCTTGAGAGTCGCTGGAAACCAGTAAGTTTGTATATGTGTGCGCATGTATGTGTGTGCCGTAGTCTTCATACTTATTAGCAAAGTTGCAAGTTCG